CAAATTCAGGATGCATTTTAGCAGAGCGTCATGACAGTATTTAGGTGAAATGTTAATGGCATTTTCTTCTACCCTATACTTCCATATTTATTTAATTTTTTTGTTCCATCAGCATATAATTTTCTGATGCAGTTCAGTTTGTTTCAGGTCGCTTATGAATACTCAGCTGTAAGGCAATTAAGTATTTAATGCTGCTAACATAAAATTTCATTATCTTTCTTGGCTTTACTCAAATGGATTTTGCCCACGAGGAAAATTTGAACCTTAGTGCAAAATTGGTGTTAAGATGTGTGGATTTTATTAATTGAAGGCGTTTATTAATTGAAGGAATTTTATTAATTGAATCAAAATAGCTCATAAACTCTAAAAAAAAATTTATCCAAACAGAAGGAACACAAATTATTTTTCAATAACACGGCTGTATTTAAAAGGTGCTAACTGTATAGGGGATTTTTTTTTTTAAAAAAAGGAAACTGGAACCACTCACAAGACTTTTTAAAAGATTTAAAAGTAGTACCAGAGATGGGGTCAGAGATTCTGTGGTCCAGAAGATGTACAGTTGGAACTTCATCTGAAAGTAACCTTGCAATCTTGTTCAACGTCTGCCATAATAAGCCTTGGATAAATGACACTCTTCCACTACCACCACTGGTCTTAACAGTAAAATGGTACTAATAGAGATGGTCCTTGTAAAAAGATGCGTACAAATAACAGCGGAAGTCTTGCAGGCAGGTGTTCACTAGGACAATATGAGAACTGTGCTCTCCAAAGAGGTATGAACTTCAGTTCATTTTCTAACCAGTGGTGCCATCAGGGCAGAACTTGAGGGGCAGAAGTCCTTGCAGAAAGGGCAGGAATGTTCCCAAACACAGCAGGGCTGGCTTACACTATTTTGAACTAAGTGAAGTGCAGGTAACAACCAACTGATGCGCAACCATGCATGCCAACCAATGGGCGCCCTTGCACTGACCGTTGAGGCCTGTAGAGAGCTGGAGTTTGAGCAAGGATGTTTGGAGGGAGCAATTGTGGTGGAGTTTGGCGTCTGGTAAGAGCTGCTGGGTTTTTCAAGGATTTCCAGAGGTTTGGAAAGTGTTTGCAGGCTTTTCCATTGGTGTTTCAAATATACGCGAATAGATGCTAATCTATTCAAATATCTCACAGATTTCCATTTCCATCTCATTCTGTATGAACGTTCACAAACAGTTCCATAAAGCGACTTTATTAGAAAGCAAAACCAGACAACAAAAACCTGCAACAGCACCAAGGAAGCTGTAATTGGAAATATAGTAAGCAGTGGCTCCACTAATTGAGCGCTATGAAGTTATCCAAACAAACAAATGAGCCCAATACATTTTCCAAACAAGGCCGGCCATCGGATTTATGGCACAGAAAATATAAGCAGACATATATTGCAGAAAGGTTTTAAGGGAAAGGTATGAGACAGAGGCTTGGCATATATCTCAGCTATTTTGGCCGCTACTAGGAAGTCTAAGGTCGTACTATGCTGAGCGAATATTCCCTCTGCCAACACCAGCTTTTTCAGCAATTTTAGGGAGGATGGGAGTGAATCAAACTGGTCTGCAAAGAAGCGCAGGAGAACTTTGTAAAAAAAATGGGGGGGGTATTGCGATTGCAGTGGTACCTCGGGTTAAGAACTTAATTCATTCTGGAGGTTCTTAACCTGAAACTGTTCTTACCCTGAGCTAATGGGGCCTCCCGCTGCCACCGTGCTCCCACCATGCAATTTCTGTTCTCATCCTGAAGCAAAGTTCTTCACCCGAGGTACTATTTCTGGGTTAGCGGAGTCTGTAACCTGAAGCGTCTGTAACCCGAGGTACCACTGTATATGTGGCCGAGTGGAACTTCAAAGATAAAAAGCAATATGAAACACTGAGCAGCACAAGGCTCCTCTTGCAAAGGCTTACATTTGGGCACTGCTTCTTAGGAGGACTATGTGACTAAGCTTCAAAAGAAACATGAAAAGGAAACAATATCCACTTGTGCACTTCATACATTTAGTAAGGTGCACGTACCTCCCAGAAAACGTCTTTGAAGTTCTTCTACTTTCTGGGAAAGAAGCAGGAAGAAACAAGTACCTCTTACAGAAAGCGAAGATTTTCATGAAGGGGGGGGGGCTTCACGCAGCACTAATCTTAGGGACAAAGGTGTATATCTTTCAATATCTGTGTGTAACAGTGATGCAATTATACTGAGTCAAACCATTGGTCCCTATAGTCCAGTACTGTCCACACAGCCCAGCAGTAGCTGTTTTGGGTTAAAGACAGGGGTCTCTCCCAGTCTCACCTGGAGATGCCAGAGAATGCCCCTGGAACCTATCATATGCAAAGCAGTGTGGAGCCTGCGGTGGCACAGCGGTTAGTGATGGACCTGGGAGACTAGGGTTTGATTCCTCACTCAGCCATGAAGCTCACAGGGTGGTCTTGGGCCTAGCACTACCTCTCAGCCTAACCTACCTCATAGGGTTGTTGTGGGGGGTTAAATGAGGCATGGGAGAACTATGCCACCTTCAGCTCCATAGATAAATAAATAAATAAATACATAAATAAAATAAAATAAAATAAAATACTGCTATGGCTCTTCCCCAAAAATACCTTACTGGTTTGACAGGGGCTTGAAACCAGTATTTTCTGCATGTAACTCGGACATAATAACTACTATACTATGGAATTCCAGTGCATGCTTAAAATGCATTTATATGTGTGTTTTGGTTTCTCATGGATTTTTCTGGTTGCAAATGCCAGCTCTCATATTTCTACTGTCTTGTCTATTCATTTTAGCATTTTTAAAAATGTTTTATTCTCTGATATCAAGACAACTGTCTTGAACAGGCATAGGCAAACTCGGCCCTCCAGATGTTTTGGGACTACAACTCCCATCATCCCTGACCACTGGTCCTGTTAGCTAGGGATGATGGGAGTTGTAGTCCCAAAACATCTGGAGGGCCGAGTTTGCCTATGCCTGGTCTTGAGGTACCCACATAACAGTTGATGTAAATTTTAAAAAAACAATTAAGCAAATGGAGGTGCAAAACGGCCCCACAGTTGCACTGATCATCTCAAAAGGGCAAAGAGATCACAGAAAGAAAAGCAACCCAGGAATGTCAATCCGCCTTTTGTTTCCTGCTCAACTGTTCAACTTGCTCATCGTATGCAAAATAATTGATGCTTTGGATTCGCTTTCAAGCAAGTAACTGAACTACAATTATAAGTAAGCTTTCCTAACCTCCACTGCAAATATTTTATTTGATCTAATAATTTATAGCTTCATCTTCTCCACATGTTCTCTGGAGCACTGGGGAATCATCAAATTTATCCCAGCTCCACTGTAATAAAAGTGGGAAACAACTAAGTACACAGATGAATAAAGTATCCCTCGTGAAGTTCAGATTTTATGGGATATGTTTTGATGGCCTGTTTTACTGCCCTTCCATATAAATTATATGAACAGAGTATTCCACCATAATAATGCACGCCTTGCTTTAACTCTTTGTGTAGTATTCATTGAATCACCAAATGGTAGAGTTGGAAGGGACCCCAAGGGTCATCTAATCCAACCCCCTGCAAAGCTGATTCAACCAAGTCTTACTCCGAGTAGACCCACTGTAATTAATGAATATGATGAAGCTAGGTCCATTCATTTCAGAGAGTTTATTATTATCGTAATTTATTACCAGCCTTTCACGCTAAGGTTCCAGGGCAGGTTACCAACAATTAAAACACAATATTAAAAAAAAGTTTACGGCTACTTACAATCATGGAAATAAGGTGGATTGTAAAAATATACTCCTAGCAAAGCTTATTTAAATACTGCCCTGAGAGATCAACAACAATTTCTAAAAGAAAATAATCCCAAGGGATGGTTATAAAAGAGCTGTTGGGATTTTTGTCATTTATTTCATGGAAAGTTAAGGACAGCGCTCAGAGGCATCTGAAAAACCTGTAGGCGTGTCTAGAAAACCCGTTTGCCTACTTTCTATAGCCAGTGTTTAGGAGTCAAATATTTACTGTATGCAAAGATTAGCCAAAATCCTCAACAACTTCCACAAGATTTATTAGTCTATTTAGCTGCGCTCCTTCTGGCCTGCTCATGACCAAAGGGCCACAAGAGAATAGTAAGGCAGCACAATCAGGGCGGCTTCTCTGTTGCTCCACTGTGCTTTAATGGCAGCAAGACTCATTCTGTCACAGTCCCTCTGAAACCCTGGACAGCCACTGCCAGTCAGTGCATACTGAGTTAAATAGACTAATGGTGTGACTCAATATAAGGCAGTTTCCCATGCTCCTAAAATTGGTGACATACCAAGGATCTGAGGCTCATACCCTGAGCAACCTTGAACAACCACAATAACCCACATTTGTCATGTACCACAATGGTTGTGTGAACTAAACCAAAGTCTCTGCTGAAATCAGGCAAGAAGTTCAGCTGCTGTCATCCACAGAGCTGATACAAATGGGCCAAATATTTTTGTCACCGCCCACTGATCTTCTTAGAAACTCATTTAGATTCAACATCTAAGGCCTCATCAATAGTTTACTAAATAATGGTTTTGCTTTTTCTTTATTATTTTTTTAACCCAGGTGAAAGGTAAAGGTAAAGGACCCATGGACGTTTAAGTTCAGTTGAATTTAACTATGGGGTGCGGAGCTCATCTCCGCTTTCAGGCCGAGGGAGCCGGTGTTTGTCCATAGACAGCTTTTCCGGGTCATGTGGCCATGACTAACTTAGAAGACCTTATCAACATTTTTTCTTTTTTGGCAGCACATTTTTCTCATAATAAATTATTTTTACATAGCAAATAATTACGGATAAAAAGTTAATACCTGGTTTATTCAAATTATGTGATCGCAATTAGCTGTCTCCATTTCAAAAAACTCCTAGTCCTATTCAAAATCTATATGCTTCATTGTACATCTTCCCATTAGTACAAAAGTGAAGTAAATATCAGCCTGGACATGATTGTACCTGTCCTTGGAGACTGGTTATGGTAGGTCCAAAAATATTTATTTTTATTTAATGTATTTATTATGTTTTTGTACAGCACATCCAAGCAAATTCTTTGGGTAGTTTACACAGACATTAAAAGAAAAATACAATTTACAATTAAAAACAGAAACCCAATTAAAATTGCCATAAAGCATACCACCTAAAATAGGTGAGTTTCTGGGAATAGAGGTGCCACCACCGAAAAGGTCATCTCCTTAGTAGCCACCCACCATACTTCACTAGGTTGGGGGGGGGGGGGGAGAAGAGCCTCCAAGAAAGATCTCAGGGTCTGGGTCATTATATATGGGGAAAGCAACCCTTCAGGTAACCTGGCCCCATGCTGTTTAGGTCTTCAAAAGGTCAAAACCAACATATTGAACTGGGCCCAGAAATGGACAGGAAACTAGAGCAGATTATGAGCCCCTGTTGTAACATGATTAGATGTAAGCCTGCTTTGAAAACAGTTGATCCCAAAGGACTGGTAAATAATCATTTAAGCTGGCTACCCTGTTTAGGTTATCTGTTTTCAAAGCAGGCTTACATCTAATACATTGTAGTAATCCAACTGGGAGATTAACAGAGTACAGGTAACTGCCACGAGACTATCTGTCCAGGTAGGGTCATAGCTGATGGATCAGGTGAAGCTGCTAAAAGGCACTCCTTGCTACTGCCGCCACCTGAGCTTCAAGTGATACTGCTGGATCTAAAAGCACCTGCAAATAACAAGCCTTCCCTTTAGGGGGAGTACAACTCTTTCCAATGCAGACTGAACAAACCCCCAAATGGACAGAAGTGCCATTCTATGACAGCAACTTTGTTTTGGCTGGAATGGGTCTGTTTATTTGCTTCAATAAGCTCCTTAGCAAACCCAAGCACTGGTTCAGAATGCCCACTGCCTCATCTGGGTTAAATGAAAACAAAATATAAACCTGGATGCCATCTGTATGTTTAGGCCCCTACATTTTGTCTTATATAGTCAGTTTTTAGTCCTCGTGTATGAAGTATGAATTATAAAAACATGACAAGAGTGTGCACCCTAACCCTGCTTATTTTGTAGCCCACAGCTGAATCGTCAGAAAATGCTATTTGCCGTAATTAGCCAGCAGAAGGAAAGAGGGCATGAACAGAAATGTGAGCTATACTTTCTTTTTAAAATCCAATGAAACTTTTAGCCACATTCACTAGGCCAATAGAATAACAGAATTGTAAAGTTGGAAGGGATGTGAGGGTAAGCTAGCCCATGAAGGACTTGGGCTCAAACCCACAACCTTGAAATTAAAGAGTTTCATGCTCTATTGACTGAATGCAATATAACGTAACAGACATATCTTCATTTAACATTTTAATGCAATTCAAAATTCAATTTAAACTTACAGGAAATCTTTAAGAAAATCTAACATGCTTTAGATGGCAACGATCAATGTATGATAACTGAGACTCAGTCATCTAGCAGCATCAACTCTCATAAAATTTTCCAATGCATTAAAAAAATACAGGAACAAAGTTACTTTTCCCAGTTTTCTCTTCACATGTTACACTGGCCTGAACATTAGGAAACTAATGGTTTTCTATTGCAGTTGGTAAAATATCATCTTAAGGTATAGAATTTTATTTGGAAGGAAAATCGCTTTAAAAACACACAGCACTTGAATAACAGGGCAATTTCCCGTAGTGACACAGGATATTAAAACACACAGCTTCTTATTCCCTTTCTTCCTCTAATAATAATAATAATAATAATAATAATAATAATAATAATAATAATAGGCATGCCATCAAGCTAGCTCGTGTCTGTACATATCTCCACTCACCTCAAAAGGGCTCTCAAAAGAAGCAGTGCAAAAAGCAATCCTTTGCTGCTGCACTAGTGACACTGCTACTCTACTGCAGCAGACATGCTGAAAAAGGTTCTACCTAAAAAAAATGTATCTGGAAGTTACCAGTCTTTGAACCTCTCTGGGGCCCAAAGAGAAACTTATCTCTGTCCCCGTGTCCCTAGTAGCTGTTTGAATATTCCACAAATTAGAGCATCCCCAAACGGATGAGATCACATGGCACAAACTAGTCTCTGCTGGGAGACCAAAACAAGGAATTAGGATTAAATCCATGTTCACAACCAACTCCCTAACATGTGTATGCCACAGATATAGAAACTAAGATATGGGCTTGTGTCTAACTATTACTCCCCAATCTGTTATGTTAAATGTATGATGAACCCAATTATTTTTCATTAATGTAGTCATATTTTATGTATCTGTAGCATCACAAACTTCTGCTCTATTATTTATTAGGTTGGTACTGTGCAGCAAATACTTTCTACATTACTTCTGTTGAAGGACAATCATCGTGTACAATGGTGAAGACCAATATTTTATTTCTATATAGAAATAAATCAGCATCACTTAAGAAATTAGACAGGGTTATAATGCATCAGAGGCATCGGTCAATCCAATAACAATATGAAGGAAACAGACCTAAAACAAATCTGTACTGATCATATTTATGTATATTGGACAGTTTCATTTTTTAATTTGATAAGCAATGCTATTAAGGGATTCTGAAATTTCAAATGGTTTAGAAATGTATTCAAAATATTCCCATACCTTCCAGTCATCAAAAATTAGCACAAAGCTAACATTTACCTGAAAACATGAGACAGAGTGAGACAGTCCTTTATGCAATTTTAAAAGAGCTATAATGCTTAAATGGAATTGATTTTTTTTCTCTGGGTCAGCAGAAGCATTGTCTGGAACACAGGGGGATCTTCACAAGATATATGGAAAGCAGCTGTGTGATGTTAGTCTTCTCTGATGGTTTTAAAATGTAATAGGTTTCCCCCTGCTTGGAATGATCTTTTCAATTATGCCTTTTCTTCCACTTCTTTTTTTTATATTGGAAAGAAAGAAAGAAAGAAAGAAAGAAAGAAAGAAAGAAAGAGAAACATGAAAACAAATTACTACTATGCAACCACCTTTTCTACATGAGCAATTAATATCTCTATAAGCAAGCCCATAAATAAACAACTGAACCATTTGACCTTGAAGCAAATGGGAAAATGTTGTCACCTTGAAAGCAGGTATTTGGTTTGGGGTGGGGTTGGGGAATCTCCAACTAGGGATCTAGTTTACCTGTTTCTTCCATGCTCTTCCTCTTCGGAATAATGATCAGCCTCTTTCTGATTCGGGATATTCTTTTTCTGGAAAACTGTCGTCACTAAGGTCGCCATAGCTGTCACTGAACAGAAATGAATGAATGAATAATAGAATCATAGTATTGTACACTAGGAAGGGACCCCGATGGTCATCTAGTCCAACCCCCTGCAATGCAGGAATTCTGCCCATGGCTGTCCTGAGAATGAATAAGAATCGTATTTCTTCCCCTTCAACTCTTAATCTCTATTAGTACATTAGCAATCAATATAAAGCATTTTCAAATCCCATTAGTTTCAGTGGAAGAATTAAACACATATTAAATGCTCTTCCTTATGGAAATCAGTAAACCTTAAAAACTGTTTAACTTTGGCTGCTCATTCCCTCAGGATGATTAACAAAGTAGTAATCTCAACATATGAGAGCTTTCTTCCTGCTGATAGCATCTTAGCTGCGCTAAACAGATGAGAAATCTATTTTGTGATGAGTCGCCGGGTGATAAATACTTGACATGGTTCAGCAATTGTGTATCAGTCACAATCAACATGCAACGCCCATAAACAGTGTAGTCATCTGACTCCACCCTTATTTTAGCCAAAAGTTCCAAATTGGGAAAATGATTACATATTTAATATTTTTTTTGAAGGGCAGTAGGCTAAAGTCTCTTTCAGGTTTCATTTGCTATATAGTTTGTAAAACGTCCTTGAATGTCACTAGATGTAAACATTTGTTTAACGAAAACCTGTTATTATTCAAGCCATATTTCTAACTTTCAAAACTGAGTCAATCTTCTTATATCAGTAGAATGGTAGAGTAAAATATTATGGTCCCTCTTATAAACTATTGTATTTCATGGGTGCTACTTGCAACCCTTGTTTGGTTTAAGCAGCTGTTCTGGTAAGCATTAACAGCCTAGGTACAGCATTCGGTATTGATTTCCATCTGGCGGCAGAGTTGCAATTGCCCATGACTGCTGGTGATGCTTTGGGGGTGCATTCAGAAACCATTACTCAACTGTCTTCTGGTTGTGTACTGGTGACTGAATGAATCCATTGACTCTCCATTTCTGAACAAGAACTTTTATTGCTTTGATACATAGGGATCATCAAGATTTCTGTAACCGTGAGGAAGTGGATTGTTCAACAAGCTCTTATTTGGGCTGGGTACTCCAGCCCTGTGTTGTTGGGCACCCAGGTACCCCATGGTTATCAGCTCCCTCCACACCTGATTACAAAACAACAACAAACCTTCTCTGTGCTCTGACTGCTTTCTAAGTGAAGAAAAGTGATTGAGGAGACCATGGGGGGGGGGGAACACTCCTATCATTCCACCCAGTCTCAGTAACATCTCTATCATCCCAACCCATCCTCAGCAATGTCAAGGATAAGGTAAGGTAAAGGTAAAGGTACCCCTGACCATTAGGTCCAGTCGTGGCCGACTCTGGGGTTGCGGCGCTCATCTCCCTTTATTGGCCGAGGGAGCTTCCAGATCATGTGGCCAGCATGACTAAGCCGCTTCTGGCGAACCAGAGCAGCGCACGGAAACGCCGTTTACCTTCCTGCCACAGCAGTACCTATTTATCTACTTGCACTTTGACGTGCTTTCGAACAGCTAGGTTGGCAGGAGCAGGGACCGAGCAAAAGGAGCTCACCCCGTTGCGGGGATTTGAACCGCCGACCTTCTGATCAACAAGTCCTAGGCTCTGTGGTTTAATCCACAGCGCCACCTGCATCCCATGTCAAGGATAGGAGAAGGTTTAAGTCTCAGCTGAAAGGTGTCCTTGAAAGCAGCAGTTTGCTTTTATGATATTCAGGACAAGAATAGCAGCCATCCAGTTCTTTTGGAAGGTTGGGGAACACAGCACTGTTCTCAGGGATTCAGCTGAGATTCAGCATTCCCCCTGACCCTGGGAAGCAGAGTGCCTGCTGATGGGGACTCCATTAGAGAGGAACGATTGGTACTAGCTTCTGTTGTAATGAGGGGTGTTTTGCTAGTCACTGATTTTAAAGCACGAGTAACAACATGGTCAGAGACACAGATCTTGTACTTACTGCTGCTGTACTTACTTTCTTCTGAATGTACCCAAGGAAGCATGGAATAGAACATGGTATTATGAAAAAGTTTTGCATATTGCACGAAAAATTAAAAAGATATTAAAATACGATGACCTGGTTCACACATCATACCAAGTTAAACTACGGTTGCACACCCTTTCCAAACCTGGGAGAAAACAAACCATGAGAAGAACAAGACATTTGGTCTTGGCTTCTTCTTGCAGTGTGCCCAGAGAGAAACAAGCCACAAGAACTGTTCTGTACATAACACTGAGCTATTTGGTTTGTCTCTTCCTGCTTTGGAAAGGGAGGAGCGGGGGGGGGGGGGAGCATGTAATTTTAGCACGTGAAAAAGCATGTCGAGCTATTTTATGCTGCAATCCTAAACACACTTACTTAGAAGTTAATAGCATGGTTAATATGTAATTTCAAGAATTAATTCAAGAACAGACATTTTATCTATTATTATACAAAATCCATTTCTCTTCTTTTATATCTTGGTGCAGATATAACATTATCAGCTGAAAGCAACCAATTTCTGTATGAAAATAAAAAGCACGGCATTTTGGAAGTCTGTTACAATTTACTATCGCTGTTACAAATTAATAATACAAAACACAGTATTGTTTAGAGATGGCTCTATACTGAACATGATTATAAATTGTTACAAATTGTTATTATTTCAGTTAAGGGCGTAAATTATAAATAATCCTAATAATCTAAGGATTTTGTACAAAAAAAGGTACTTGCTCTCATATGGGGTGGGGGTGTTGCCCCTCTTCTCCTCCCACTGTCTGCAGCCCCAAACCCTCACTCCAGGGCACAGCTATCCAAACTGTGTGTCGCAATACATTAGTGTGTCGGCTGCAGTCTGTAGGTGTGTTGTGTGAACACACATGCGCTCCTCCCGGGGCTGGAAAGGGGTTAGTTTAACCTCTGGTTTGCTAGTAAAACTGAATTACTATGTCGCAAAATGATGCACATTTAAAAAGTGTGTGACCAACAGGAAAAGTTTGGAAAGGTCTGCTCTAGAGGGTCCCTCTTCCTCTGTGTTTGGTCAGCCTCCCAATCTCCAGGGAAGTATATTTTACTTATTTAGTGAGATCTTTGAATCCAAGTAATTGTTTCCTGCAAAACTCCCACAAATAAAAAAGGTAAGTTAGAAACCCAGAAATCTTTTATGATAATCAGCTTTTATTCCCTGCAGGCAGTCATGATTTAATTAATTGCCTGGGATTAAGGGATGGGTTTCTCAACCTCTACGTTTATTTGGCTCTCATAGAAAAAGCAATATATCAACTCATCAAATGACCTTTTAAAACTAATCATTATTCAGAACTTTTCTAGTACACATAATAACTAATAATAAACACTTCAAAAGTAACTTTGCTTTTCTGGAATTGCATATCAATCATGAAGGCTTTTTATGAAGCATCCATCACACACACACACACACACACACACACACACACACACAAAAAGCAAAGTTACCTAGGAGACAATTTACATCCACGTTGCAAGTAGGCACTGAGAGACCCTGTTGCAGCAAGCAAAAGGCCAAGGTAGGCAGGCGATGGCTTCATAGGCCTTGAGGAAAACTCTGGGTGGAACTGGACACCAATGAAATACGGGTGATCTACAGATAAATCACAGAGAAAAGTAAAAAAAAAAAAAAAAGTTAAAAGGCAAACATATAACATTAATAATATTACAAACTATTTAAATTACAATGACTTTAATCCTGATTTCAGACATGAAAATACCAGTACATATTACAGTGGTACCTCGGGTTACATACACTTCAGGTTACATACACTTCAGGTTACAGACTCCTCTAACTCAGAAATAGTGCTTCAGGTTAAGAACTTTGCTTCAGGATGAGAACAGAAATCGTGCTCCGGCGGCGTAGGCAGCAGCAGGAGGCCCCATTAGCTAAAGTGGTGCTTCAGGTTAAGAACAGTTTCAGGTTAAGTACGGACCTCCGGAACGAATTAAGTACTTAACCTGAGGTACCACTGTAGTTAGCATTTAAAATAATTAAATAAATGCTAATGTCTGTAAATTTTAGATAGCTTTACGGTTCAAAGAACAGCACAGAAATTATCTTGTTATAAATCTTACTGCAATATAGGCAAGTATAAGTGGGATCTGCAACAAAATGTTGCAGTGTGGTCTATGTTTCTGTTCGGCCAGCCACACCCTCCCACCACCATATTCCATTTAATTCTTCCTTTCACCCAATTATCTTCCTCCTTTGAAATGCTTTCCACTTAGCTTATCAGTGCTGTGAGGCTGGAGAGGTAACAATAGTGGAAGTGAACCTTCAGCCCCTTTTTTGCAATTAGCTACTTTCTGCTTTCAACACAGGCCTCTCAGTTGAAAAACACTTGCCATAGGGGAAAGATGCTTCAGTCGATAGAATAAACACTCCACCCCACCCCACAAGCATATCTAAACTTGCATACTTTGCCTATTAGTGGCAAGGGAACTGTATTTCTTTGCTTAGCTGATTTGTTTTCTGCTATGAATGAAAAGTCTTGCCTTGCCACCCAAAACAGATTCTGGAAAACCATTAAGGATTGCATTGCTTGCTTTAAGGAAAATTTAATGAAGATGATGTATAGATGGTATTTGATAAACTTGCTAAAATGTATAGAACTCAAGATAAGGCATGTTGGAAATGCAAGGAGAAGGAAGGGAATTTCTTCCATATGTAGTGGACGTGTAGTAAAGTTAAAGCCTACTGGGATATGATATACGATGAATTGAAAAGATCTTTAAATATACTTTTATTAAAAAACCGGAGGCTTTTCTATTGTGGAAGAAGAAATTCCAAAAGTAGACTTAAATATGTTTATGTATGCTACCACGGCTGCAAGGACACTTTTAGCCCAGAAATGGAAGCAGCAGGAACTTCCAACTTTGGAAGAATGGCAGATAAAAATGATTGAACATGTAGAACTGGCAAAACTGACAGGGAAAATCCGAAACCAGTGTGACGAACTGTTTCAAAAGGACTGGAGTAAATTTATACAATATATGAAAGAACATTGTAAACATTTGAGAACATTTGCAGGTTTGATTTAAAATATTTTGTCATGATAATTTTTGAAACTGATTTACAAATACTAAAGTAATTTTTTTAAAAGTATGGTAAGAAGGTAAATAGGGTGATATAGAAATGCAAAGAGGATTGTGATTGCTTAAGAAAGTCAGGGAGTGGGAGGGGGGAAGTCGATGCTCGGTATGAGCAAAGTTGTATGTGATGATATGATTTGATATGAATGTGACAAAGGAAAAATATTATACACACACACATATATATACACACACACACTCTTTCTCTCTCTCTCTCTCTCTCTCTCTCTCTCTCTCTCACACACACACACACATTGCATTGCTTATGTTATTTCTTTCATAGCAGCAGTGTTTAACAACACTGTCATATTTTATCAAGATCTGTTTTCAGTATGTATATCAGAAGCAATATAGCAGAAATAAAACAAATGCACTTAGACAGTTCTTTCTTACAGGTTTTGAAATATCTCCAAAAGGACAACCTACGTTTTGTGCCATATCAGCATGAGACTATAGAAAGAATTCTTTCTGTCACATCCTGGAGCCAAATTTAATTACTATAGGCTTCAGGCTTTCATAACCAGGTAAATTTACATTTTTGTTTTTACAGACAGCTAGTATCTCTGCAATAATTCAGTTTTTAATATCAGTATCATACGTTTGTGACAAAGGATATGTATATTCCTAAATGTGAAGTATTGACAAATGTCAGTGCCTGGAATTCAAGACTTTTACACTGTCTCCTTTAAAACAGAGATTTCAAACTTTGTGGTTAGCAGTAAATAAAAATATGTTGTAAACATACCTTATTGGGCAGCAACACCTTTAAAGTGTAAACAGCCATGACTAAATGGCTGTAAGTCAATCTATATGCATACTGGTGATTAGTCACTTTGGAGTTTTGTTTGAAAAAATGAATATATAGACATTTCAAATAAATAAGCAGGACATTTTGTGAGTGGTCTATCCTTAAGAACATTTTCCTTAAGAACAATTTAGACTTGAAACATCTGCAGGAACATTTAAAGCTGAGTAGTTGCTAAAACAATGATTGTGTCTCCACAAAATGTGCCATAAGAAAGCAATCAGCCATTTTTTGGGTGTCTGCTGATGTGTCTGGGCTATATAAAACCACCAAAGCATCTTCTGTACCTCTTTCCAGCCCATTTTCCCTTAGAGCAAAACAGACTGTGGAACATATCCTCCGAAATTAGCCTGCCTGGCTGTTTTTTGTTGTTGGTTTTTTAACTAAGAAGCATACTTTCTTTCTACAGGTTCATGTATCCTACCATTTGACCAGCTGCTACTTGAAAATAGAGTAGTTATAGCCCAAAACAGTGTAATTCCCTCTTCACAAATGTGGCTTCCTGGAATAACTGAAATCTGCTTTCCTTCTTTTTAACAGAAGACCGAATGAGAACTGCAGATAAAAGTCCTCTCCAGTGTGTATCTGTCAGGTGTGGTTCTGTACAGTGAACCCTCCATTTCCTATATATGAGAATGCTGCAGCTAAAAACCAAAGCCCTTACCATTCAACTCAATGACCTCCATCCTTTTCCCTTCAGTATCATGGCCAACAAATCTCAAACCTTTATCTTCAAAGAAGTGAGTCAACTCAGGGTTCACCTTTGAAAGAGCAAAGCAAAAGAGAGAAGATAAACATACTTTTAAGATGAAAACTGCAATACCGGTGGAGATGTGCATCCACATATGAATCAGTATTGGCAATGCATATAGATGGTTATTGTGCTACAATAATCTCTCTCTCTTGCTGAAACATACCTTTAAATGGTTCTAATGAAAGAAAGCTTTCAGGACTAACAATAACATGATAAGACTGTTTCAGACATAATGTCCAAACCATGGTTTGGTATTTGTGAGTGCCACACGCACTTGCACTCCCGCTTCTTCCCCTTGTGTATAGATACCGCTTTGCTTAAACATGGTTTGGCCTGACTTCCACATCAGGAAAGCTATGGTCGAAAGCTGTCTCCAAACCACCATTTGAAACCAGGTTTGAAATGGTGAAACTTCATATAGGGTTTCCTGAATAGCATTTGCTCAGTTTGGATATCCAGCTGAACAGGAATGGAAGGAATCCTGAAAGGCACTAATGATTACCAAATCCTGGTTCAATCACAGCACCTTGAACCAAGACAATGGATTTCAAAACAGCAATCAGCATATGTTGCAATTTGCAGGTATTACAAAATATGGGAATCAGTTTTAAAGGAAATACTCATTTATCCTTTCTGGAAGAGAGAAAAAACACTCAATGTCAAGAAGTACAACGGATAGAAAGAAAGAAAGAAAGCTGTCTTTGCCTGTATACTATTGTGTAGCCTAGTAACAAAACAAACAGAATCAGAAAAAACTGTATTTAAGTCCTTTGTTGCCAGAGAGCAGTATTCTGCTATTGTTCTATGTGTCCTCTCAGAAGCAGCTTAACTCAAAGGCTTACTTTTGTCTGCAAATGTTAGCTAGACTGGAAAAGATCTAGCAAGCTGAGTCAAAGTACACTTGAAAATTTCCCACCTAACGCTATTAAAAGAGACAAGGCAGTGTCCACCCCCTCTGCCATCTTTCTCCAAACTGGTGCCCTCCAGTTCTTTTGGACTACAACTTCCATCAGATTCAGACAGCATGGCTAACAGTCTGGAATGATGGTGGTTACAGTTCAATATCTCTGGTGGGCACCAGATCAGTGGCAGCTACTCTCCATATAATACCATAGGACCTCCTGAAGCAGTGTTGCTTAATCTTCCTCAGTTCCTCATCTTTTCGAAGCAATGCTGTTGATTGGATATGGAGAGTCCTGAGTTTTCATGTGTCCTTTTGAAGAGGCACTTTATACTGTAAAATGAATCTCTGAACTGAGTGTCCGGAATCTCCTGATTTCCACCTGAGTCTCCCCTCAGTCCTCCATGATTCCCTTTCTCCAAGTTTCCTTTGTGCATTTTCATTAGTTTTGCTGGTAGACACTCTGCTTAAGTTTTTAGAGTGCCCATCTGGGTGCCTGTTCTCAAACCTTCAAACCCCTAATTTCAGGTGGCTCTGAGTATCAATACTGATGTGATAAACTCAGGGCCTGAATGACCCTGGACTCTTTTCTGCAACTCTGTTTTCAGTGGACTCTGCTTCATAAAGCCTCACTGAGGCTGACAAGTGTTTCTTTAGCTTCTTTTGGGATTGTACCCCTATGTGAAGGATTTTATCCCCTCCTCCATATATAAGGAACAGCACATAGAAGGAAACACCACCTTGCACTGAGTTTATTTGCAGTAAGGTTTGGGACTTTCCTTGTTGAATGGGTATGTGGTGCCACACCTCAAGCAGTAGTTCATAAGACTTTATTGTTTAGACTTATTATGCGGATTCTATGAAGACTTTCCATTCCAGAGAAGGGAAATGCTGATAAAATACACTTCCGCCACACCCCTTTAAAGCCTACATTTGTCTGTAGTTTTATACAGGCTTATAAAGGCTGTTTTATACAGTTTTATACAGTTTAATACAGGTAATAGTTCTCATGGCCTTACTGTGAAAACCTGATGGAATGGAGAGGTGGCGTTGCCTTGACTCCAAATTGAACATGGCTGATAGACAGCAAAAATTACGTTAGCAGTTACTTGCCTCATAGCGATGCCTGTGTCGTTCTTCCACAAAAACTTCGTCACCATAAAGTTTCCCTACAAATACATTTAAAGGGTTACTTCTGCTTTACTGTTACAAGTAAAAAATAACATTTTTGTGTATAATCTAGTATTTTTCCAATCAATTACGTATAAAGGAACACAGATATTCAAATAGATGCAGTCTAGCCATGTAATGTGGCAGGACAATGTTGAACATATCTAAAAGATAAGCAAGGAAGATCATTAGAATTTTAAAACAAACTTTAGGGCTCCCTATCTCCCCGGACTACATGTGGACCTTGCCAGAGGCAACTAGACACTTCCTGCATCTTATAACATACACAACAAAAAGCAGATTGGGGTTATATTGAGAGTTTAAGAAACTGGGGAAGAAGGATGGAATAAAAGAGAAATACTTCAAAAACACATCTTTTTGAAGATAGTGAAGCATGTATCTAAAAGATATTTCAGATGGGGAGTAGAAGTGCAGCTTCAAGAGACCTCCTGTCAAATTCTATGTCATGTCCCTTCTCCTGCAGCTCGTAATATTTTCTGTACTTCCCTTTTTGTGGCAAAGCCTAAACTGGAATGTAGTTTCTTTGCAGCTATCTTGAATGCTTGTGGAATTCAGCAGAAAGAATGGCCAGGAACATAGGAAGCTGCCTTATACAGAGTCAGATCATTGGTCCATCTAGCGCAGCGCCATCAACAGTGACTAGCATGGCTCCCCAGAACCTGGGACCTTCAGCGAATAAGGCAGATGCTCTGACACTCAGCTTGCCCATCCATCTTAAAGTATTACACACTACAACTACTACTATTTAAAAAAGTGAAATGGCATGAGAGTTCAGGGATCAACCTCACTTTCCAGAAGTTCACAGATCCAGGGTCCCTGGGACAGAGGGAGATAGGATGACATGAGGGGCTACGAGAAAGGAAAGTCCTAAGGAAGTCACAAACCCTCCCATGGATATGGCCAGCCAGTCTCGGAGAAGGTGAATGAGGCACTCTTACTGCAGTGATCCAAAACTATTCCTTTGCCTTGAAGCAAAGCTTCCTTACAATAATAAGATTATGAATAAAGGAGCTAGAAAACTGATGTATCTAAAACAAGCATATGCACCAGGTCAACAAAAGCAGGGGGATATTTCACTGACTCCACAACCACCAATCTGTTACTAAACAAATGATCACACAGTCATGCAATTTCTGTCTTTTTTCCCAAGTTAGTTTCCCCCCCAATCCAGTTATTTACATACAGGAAAGGAATCTGGAGCTTCCATCTCTCACAGCAACTAGAAGTGCCTCTTCCGGGAGGGCTGAGAGATTACACTCATCACATTATGAGTTAAATGGCTCCTTAACAAAGTCTTCCTAATTAATATCAGTGTTTTAATTATAAATCCAAAGTATTATGAATATGCTTATTGCACTACTTGTCAAAAACAATACTGCCTAAAGGTGAAATTATACAGCTTACATGAAAATGAATAGCTTAATAGGTTTGTTATTTGACAAGTTCTTATCTTCAGTGGCATATGTGTTACAGTGTGTTATTTTAACAGGTGAAACTTAATTTTTGCTAATTTCTTCAATGAGGGGTCCTAAAATATGGTTTTGGGTGTGAGAAATTCAAATCTGCTCTTAATTTTGTTACTGGATAACGTTTAGCTTGGTAAATCTATGGTTGATGAAGGAGCACATGAACTGCTTCCATAAAAGCAAATAATTTTAATTTTACCACCTGAAAGTGTCAGGTAATGCATAATAATAATAATAATAATAATAATAATAATAATATAACTTCAAGTGCTTGGCAATCATTTTAAATGATTTGTATGCAATTTTACACACATTAAACTTACCTAAATATATAAATGTAACCAAAATACTCTCTGAATGCCTAAGTCATGTTACAACTTTTTAACACCCCTCATTTTTTGGAATTTGAATGTTGAGAAATGCAACACAGCCTATGTTTGATATTTATTGAACCACAATTCTGACGGAGTTTTTAAAAGTCAGTTTTCATGTGAATGTACTCTTTTTCAACCTGAGATGGAAAGGTTAGAATAAATATGCAACAATAATAAAGGATAGATTGTAGGCAGGCTGTGCTTGGCTAGTGCACAACTTAGAATGTGAAGTACAGGTTTCTAGCCATACCCACAATTCAATGGCGGTTGTTCTCCGTAGCCCTTCCAGGGGCTTCAAAGAAGTTCAGGCAGGGGAAAGGGAGGCCATGAGGCGTAAATCCTCCTGGTGCTTTCTACTGGGGTCTAGGAAGTCCACTGCACCCCACAGTGTTGTGCAACCCTGTGTCTGCCAACTTGGAAGGCAGAACGGAAGTGATCTGGGAGTGTGCCCCCATCATGGACTAGCCTCTGTTACTTTGTGGAGGGCTCCTCCTTAATCTGGATTATTGGCGTTAATCAAGAGGCACTCCCGAAGCTTCATATGCAAATGGGCTGCAATCAATCAACCACCGAAAGAACTGGGACTGGTTTTCTGAAGGTATTTGAATTGTTTTATGAAATTTGAGGATCCCTACTACAGCCGGGAAAGGAAAGGTGGAAGACGAGGTGCTCTGTGCTTTCTTATGGTTTTCTAATGGTCTTTTCCCCCTGTCCTCCTCTACATAATGAAGAGACATGTGTAGCTGCTGCTCAGCTTGATACTTCGAAAAAGAAGGGGGCTTTTGATTTATGCTTTACAAGGGAAGCACACTTTTCGGAAATCTGAACAGGTCAACAAATTTTAGTTGGTCTTATTAAACCATAAAGACTGTGCCATATATTAAAAAGCAGGACTTCTGAAGAAAAGGGAATATGGCTACTTGTTACTTTTTTGGACGATACACATTAGGCCCCTTATTTTTCCATGATCATAACTAAATATGAAGAAAAGGTACTGAATCAAACCATTATTACACTTAAGGCATTCATACATTATATGAATATGTATTATTTTTACATACAGATATGCGTTTTTTAAAAAACATATATATCACAGAAGCAAATACATCTGCCAAAGAACGCAAGACTTACTTAAGATAGAGTCCTTTGTATTAAAGATAGTTTTCCTTTCCCCTAGTCTCATTGTTCCTCCCATGTCTCCAGGATTGTGTTCAGGCATGTCAATGACCTTAACGAAGAAAAACATTTACTTTGGTTTACATTATTTCTATGCTATACAAAGCACTCGGGTCACCACCTTGCATGCCCATAAATCTTCCCATGTTTCTAGTACAGCAACATTGTATACAATAAAAATAGGTTCAACCCACAGATGGTACTACCACTGAAACTGAGATGTTGAGGGTCAGGGAAGAGTTTCAACATTAGCTCTGTTCTTTATGTTACAGCTACTGACAGTATACTGGGTGTGCTTTGCTCTAATGAAGGTGTAGCGCCCAATGTATTTACTATGTGGATCTTTTGCGTTTTAGAAATCCTTTCCCAGAAAAAAATGGGCCTGACCCAGTTAAACTTAAGCAGAAAAGGGAGAATCAAACTTACAAAAAGAAAAACAAAGACCGCAACACTGTGTTGGGTGAGTTGACCAAGTGATTTCAAATAATATTTTCATTGATTTAAATTTAAAGTAACATATTTAAGTATTTTGCTAAGACTGAAACTTATAATGCAAGAGGCTAAAAGATTTTTGCTCAATCGAGATTTTAGTTTATCATCATATGGCAATTTTACTCTTCCACTTCCCATGTACACACAAAGGGTATATATGAACTAATGAAATTTCTGTCAAATGTGGTTGAGGATCAATGCTACACAAAGAAAACACCATTCACTCTTATGCAAACAGTATTAGATGTTTCATAACAGCAAGCAGCTGATACAACACTAAAGACATAATCTGCTGATAAGAAGAAAAATCTAATTTTTTTCTTAGCTTGGAAGCTCAAAGCATCTGTAGCCAATATCCTCCCTGCCCCCTGAAATGTATTCCTGTCCTTCAGTGGCCCATCAGCATGACAAGGATAGCTTTAAAACTGTAAAAATATAGAGAACTCTAAAACAATGCTAGAAGAGGATAAAACTCCCATGAATAAAAACTCACAACAGCTTAAAAGAGTGAAAAGTTAGCCTAGTGGAAAAAACCTGCTTAGCACCAAAATGGTAACAAACCCTTCACAATGCTAACCTATATAGAAATGATTTGACCACGATATTCTACATGGGGCTGCCCTGGAAGATGACCCAGAAACTTCAATATGACAGATTACTTGAGATTCCATTTAGAACTCCTATCACCTTTTTTAAAAGAGTTGCACTGGATCCCAGCTTGTTTCCAGGCCTAATTCACTGTGCTCACACTAGTGTTTAAAGCCCTAAACAACTCGGGTCACAAATATCTGAAATATCTACAGGTGTACAAAGGGACTCTCTTGCTAGGTCCACTGTCCTCAGAGGTTTGGGAGGTGGCCGTGTGGGAAAGGGCATTTTCTGTGTCAAATTCTAGGGGCCATCCTGTTAGGCTGCAGTAGATTGCAATGGATTGCTCTGAAGTCACATCAGCCCCAGATTTTTTTGGGGGGAGGGGGGAATCACCCCCAACCGCCCCTCCTCTCCCTATCCTGTATTTTGCCAGAACAAAGGTGGCACCCTAGTCAAAGGGAGTTCTTTCTTGCAGAAATATAATTAGGAATTTTGAAACAAAGACATGGGAAAGAAGTACAAACAAACTTAAACTATTAATTATTATTGTTAATAGCAACAAACAACACAAACATTTCACAATCAGGTTGACACTCCTGCCTCAGACGACTATAAGAATGCCAGTCTCAAACTGCGTCTTTTAAAGCTGCCTTGACAATTTCAGGGGGTTTTAGGTTTGCAGAGCAAGGTAAGTAAGATCTGAATTTCATGTGATAATCTATGCTTGTTTGTTTTATTGTTTTAAATACGGTAATTGCCCTGGAAGCTGTAGTTTACTCAGTCTTGGGCTACTACCCTGCATGACATTGAGTTGTAACTTCTTATCCATTTTAAAACTCATCTGGTCAGTCTGAAAAACAAGCCCCATTTTCAGCCTGCAGCACAAATTAATTTAGAACTGGCACTTGCAACTAGTTCTGAAATCATTTGATATCCATATTTAAATTGCTTTACTATTGGCAGTATAGTATCACTTATTATTTAGAGATGTCATTGCTAACAAAACGGCAAGTGTTGTCATGCTATTCTACTATATAGTATTGCATTGTGGGGAATGCCATATGAAAAGCTGTGTAATTTTTTTCAACCTGTAGTAACCCCCCTATAAAGGGATGTGGGCGCAATATTCACCCCCGCCAAGGCCCCTTCTGAGGGGCATGAATTGAAAAACCACGAAGTATGCCCTAGATCTAATCCTCCACAGAGTTCAGTTGCTTAAATGCAATGGCTCAAATCCTATTATAATGCTACAAGAATGTTATTGTTAGAATTAGCAATGTGAGACAGTGGCTATGGAAGCGCCTTTCTTAAACCGTTCAATAGAATTAGGATTGCACATCCCCACCAACAATGAATAGTCCATCTGTAGCTGATCATTACAATTCCCTTGCTGGATCAGGGAACTGAACTTTGCAAAAGATGAAGTTCCAAGTTAGTATTCCTAAAACACACTTAATTGGAAGTAATTTGAAATGGGCAGGGTGTGCTTCCAAGGAAATGAACCTAGAAATTGTAGGGTGAGTGGGTATCACCAGGTGGTTTTTTGTTGTTGTTGTTTTGCCTCCACAAAGTGGCAGACAGAAAGCCGGGATATCAGGCAATTCAGTTTTTCCAACTTTTATTTCTTCATGCCATATATCATGCCATATTTTATCTGCTGCTCGCCTGTTTTCTGTGTTGATCGCCTGCTTCCCAATCTTTCTAATACTGTTCTAGATAAAAACTATGTTCAAAATGTTGCTTCTCCTTGCATTCATCCTGAGTATGTAACATGTAAATTCAAATACATTACTCTATTGCTTTTGCTTCATACTGGTGCAGCTGTAGGTAGTCTTCATCATAAACACCGAAGAATCGGGTATTTTAATGCCAACAGCATTGCAGACGTGTCTGTGGACGGGATATATTGATTGAAAATGTCTAGTAAACCAGATTGATAGTTGGGTTCCTACTGAGGGTATTTGGTGAGCCAACATGACAGAGATTTGGGATTGAAGAATGAAGTGATCATTCTGTGATATTATGACAGTGGACAAAGCTGTATTGTAACTTTTGAATAAATGTGTTAAAAAACCACATATATTTTCTGCTGCAATAAATCTGTTCAGGCAGTCAGTAGGCTGCATACAAATTGCAAACAGAAATGTGTGGGGCTATCAATGGACATGCAATTTGATCAGGACAAGGTAACAGGTTTAAATATATGAATTTGCCCTGTAGCTGCAATTGTGGAAGACTGAAAAACAGAAGCTGCAACATGTACAGAAAACTGTTGCAGATAACAGTTTTAAACAAAGTTATTTACACTGTTTTTAAAATAATCCTGATTGACTGTTATGACTGCTTTTGTTATCTTTTGATTTTGTTTTTATTTGTAAGTCACTTTGTTGAGTTTTTCATAGAAGAGTGAAATATAAATAATAATCAAGTGATTTGCATATTTCTATCCTCTTTTGTGGTGATTTTTTGTTAGCTTATTCTACTTGTGTGTTCTTTTCTTTATTTCTAATTTGAGCACACTGGAACATTACCTTTTCAGGAGGTCTATAAAATGGCCAAGACATCTACTGAAGAACTGAGAAAGGTTTTCGCCAAGTATGCTTCAAAAGGGGGTGATCCTAATCAACTATCGCAATGTGAACTGAAAGAATTAATTGAGAAGGAATTTCCAAATGTACCAAAGGCAAGTCCATAATTGTTTCATTGAGGCAGCATATGAAAGTGTGTGGAAATGTCCAAAAGCAATTACAGAAGTAATATTTGCCAAATATTTAACTGGGGATGAAGAGAGCAAGACTGCAGAAAGCGCAGAATTTAAAAGAATGAAGCCCCAAGCATTTCCATTTTTCCTAATGAGGCATGTGCTCATAGTCCCATAATGTACTGTACATTGTTTTATTTAATTTATATATATTTACTCCACAATGCCTGAGATAGATTGCTGGAGGTTCATTGGCACATAAGTTATACTCAGACTAGACCCACTGAAATTGATGACGTTAGTCATGCTCATTGCTATCAATGGGTCTAATCTGAGCAGCACTAACACTGTAAGCAACCCGTCACAGAAAGAGAGACACAATAAATGCTGGGCTGAAGTTTAGATGAACAGCATGTCAGTAGGTGTCCTCCGCGGCTGGAGCAAAACTGACCATTACGTTTAAGAAATTTGCTTGTAATTGTAGCACCAGTGCTTTAATCTTCAGTTTTAGTATCTTATTTATAGTAAAATATTTAACGACTGGCATTCCAGTCCTTAAAGCACTTAGTTCTTACATTGGAAATTATGGGCTGTATCTTAAAAGTTATATTCAGAATAGAGCCACTAGGTTGCTAACTTATGTCCATCGATTTTAGCAGATCTACTCTGAGTATGGCTTAGTCTAAGTGAGTGTGTGTAGGATATTTGGCTTCCCCAGTTAAACAACTGGGGAAGCCAAATATCAAATGGTAACCTAAGAAACTTAAAAAATGAACCACACAGTGACTTGAGTAAGTATAAGCCAGGGACTGCTTCACAGAGACAGCAAATCTCAAAGTAGAGAGAAAATAGCAAAATTATTGTCACTAAGGTGACATCCATTGATTTGACCTTCTTGTTTTGTATTAAAATCACAGGCTTCTACTATTGATGCCGTATTCAAAGAGATGGACAAAAATAATGATGGAGAAGTCAGTTTTGAAGAATTTGAGGCTGTGATGGCCAAACTAATGGGGTGAAGCCAATAGTACGCCCTACAAGAATATGAAAAGCACTGCAATTTCTAGAAAAAAAGCAAAACAAAATCATAAAGGACGAAACCCTAAAGTAACAAACTGGTTTCTTTCTGAGGCATGAGAACAAGATTATGACAATAAAAACATCTCAATAAATTTGAACTGCTTTATTCTCTAAGCTATCATTACATTATGGGTACAGTCGTCACAGGATATTTCTTTCAGTAAGGCTGTTACACTGAATGGTAGCTG